CTGACCTTTTTTGGTACTCCTAGAGTTAAGTGATTTTTTTTTATGTGCTATTGAGATGAAAGTAAAAAATGTTGTCATTGCTTTGTCTCAAAGAATTGCATTTTATTTTCTGTGAGTACTTAACACATTGCTGTATGCTATTTCTGTAAAAATATCTGTTCTTACATACTTATGCAGTGTATGTTTAGCCAATGTGATAGACAGTGACTGGAATTCTAGCTTTGTTCTGGTATCTAAATTTTTGCTTTTGTAATATCACGTTACATTGTAAAAATTCCTATGCTTGCCACCTTAAGATATTTGGGCTGAAAAAAAAAAGTACCGTGGAAAGGAAATTCAGAGAATCACAGCTAAGAGCAGTTAACTCAGTAAAGCATTTGACTCCATCCCTACTCTCCTTGACTATCCTTCTATCTTGTTGTTTAATAACTAGCACGATGAGACTTTGCACTTTCAAGTTCTGTGGTGGTAAGGTTGACTGGAATACGTGCATCATAGTTAACGTATAGAAGTTAAAACAAGTTCAAAAAATTCTGTATTTAATCTTTGTTTATTCATGATTAGTGTCTCTGATGTTTAAAAAGGAATGTTTACAGATATAAACAATAAATTAAAATATTTGTAGACATTGTAGGATGTTGCATATTAATATTTCTTTCTACTATTATACATTAGAGCGTTACTTACTAGAAATCTATTTGGAATGACAGTTTTTCTTAAAATTAAATTATGTGACCATGGGATGATCAAAAAACAATTTCTGCTTTTCTGTTCTCCAGTAATTTGAAATATGAATTGCCAGTAATAGCTTTCAGAAGTATTAGTTTTAGTACACTACAATAAAAAAAAACAACTGGTAGACTGCAGCACAATAGGGAGAAATTCTTTGTGACTATTACAGAATTCAAGAATCAGAATAACTATGTCAGGTCTGATCAGACCATTGTAGCTACATGTTTCTGTAAAGAGTTTTACTCTTCAGAGGTTTTGCTTTTGTGCCTTTAGTGTCAACTGTTATATTACTAAAGCTAGGTTTGTGAAGTCCAAGGCGATTGGATAATTATTTACTGCTTTTTCCCTCTTGTTCTTTTTTCTTATTTACCTTATTTCTTTTTGCGGTATCATCACCTACCCAAGTGGATCAAGTGTAATGTACGAAGTATAAAGATACGTGTGTCTGTATTTCTGTGCATGATTATCATGGTTGTTGATGCAAATTGGGGAATTATTTACCTGGTTTCCTGTGTGCACACAAAGTCAAAGTTTGCTTGCAAGATGGGGCTGGTGGTATTTTTGTTCCCTTCCTCCTTCTCCACATGCCTCTTTCAGTGCTCTTTTTTATTATCTGAAGAATTGTTTATTGATGAAATTGCTAAATTATGCATGATTCTACGGCCTTTTCCTTTTTTTGACCTCCTTATGAATTACCTGCTGATGAGTTGTGAGATAGTGGTACCCTCATCATCTATGGTGCATCATCAAACTTAAATCAGAATGAAGAGAGGTCAAACCTATCCCTTGGATCCTCTTCTTCTGATATTCACTGTAGATTTTGTTTAGTTTAACCTCTTTTGAATGTCAAACAGAAATGGACACTTAAAAGATTTTTATCTTCACATTTAAAAACTGAAACCAGATGCAATCAGTTATGACTCTCTATTGGTAGAGTAACTTGACTTAAATAGTATAGGCTATTGTAATCTCTCTTCTGCTTGTAATTTTTTTATTCTGGATGGTGTGGATCTATTTTTTTAATCCTTAAAAACTGAGTATTTATTAATTCTATGGTTAGCTGCATGGAGCTAAATTTTTAGAACTCTTCATCTATTACACAATGCTTAGGAAATGGCTGGTGTCCCATTGTATTTCCAATTTCATCATTTAGCATCACTCTTATTCACAATTCAGGGACCACGTTAGATGCTTTTTAAAGAAAATGGGAAGTGGGTGGAGAATTTATTTGCACAACAGAACATGAAAATTTCAAGTTGCCTGATCAAAACTTACTTCATTTTTTGAAAAATAGATTATCAGCTCCTTTTTTTCTTCAAACCTTTCTTTTAAATTTCCTTTCTGACCTGAAAGAAATTTTATAGGTTCTAAAGGTTTTTAAAAGTACGTGGAAATACTTTGTATAATAGCACTTTTCATGTCTTTTTTTTTAAAAAAATAGATTAATAGAGTCATTAGTGACTCTAAGAATCACTGTTCCACTAATAAATTGCAATTGCACTTTGCAGGCTGAATAGTAGCACTTGAACTTCCCTGTTGGTAGGGACTACAGTAGATTTGTGGCATTCTGAATTTTGCCCAACCCAATATGGGACAGGTGTTAAACTGTGAGGTTACTTCCATTGCTAGGAATAGATCCAGTAAATTTTCATACTGGGGATTATCAAAATGATTTTGCTTCCCGAATGCAGTTTAAGAGAAGCTCTTGTCCCTTGCTACGTGATGGTATTAGTTCTTTTTGGATTTAAAATCTGATAATGTGAGCTTCATTTTTTCTGCATTTATTTCCTTTCCTTCTGTTTTTCTAGAAAATTCTTTTGATAGACTGTAGTTAAAAAAACCCCAGTCTTATTAAGGAACCTCAGTTGCATTCAACTGAGGGAGTTTTTTCCTCCCTCTTTAAAATACTGATAATACATGCATTACTGGGAAACAGGTAATACTGTTTGATTAATAGAGAATGCGGTAGATGACTTGTTATAAAAAAAAGGGACCAAAGCAAATATTTCTATTTGAAGCCAAATAAGGGAATGAGAGGTTATGAATAATCTTTCACAGAATAGTAAGTTACATACATAAATCTATCAATTGAATGTTAAAGCATTTTCTTTCAATATTTTATAATTTAGACTTTTTGGGTGGGATACACCACCAAAACGATGATGAAGCGGATCTTTTGTTACCTCCATTGAAAAGCAAAGGAAAGTGGTACTTTTTGAAACAAAGTGGGAAACTAGTTTATTTATGTTTGGGGAAGTTGTTTTGGTTTTTGCAGTTGTTTTGCAGCAGACCTTTGCCTAAAGTTATTGATCAGGCCTTAGTTTTTATCAGACTAAATCTAATTTATTTACGCCTCAAGTCAGAAAAACATTTGCATAGCAGTAGTATATCTCTAGCTTAATAATCTAGTCTGAGAGAGAATGTGGCAATCAGTGGCAGTGAGATGGGTAGCCCGGGAGAGAAAAGTAAGGGGCTCAAATTTTGCAGTTTATTTCACAAATTGTAAATGACAGATGTCATTGATTTTCCCATGTCTTCAAGATCTCCACCTTTGTAAAATAAGTAGATAAAATTTACTTTAATCTTTTTAAAATCATTGCTGAAAAATATTTAGGTTCACCCTGGAGTTAGCATGAACGAGATGTACATAGCTGTTTGTAGCTTACAGAGAAGGACAACAATAAAGAAAATTGACATTAAAGTGACCAACTGAAAACTTCTATTACAGTAAATAAAACAGAACAAAAGCAAACCAGAAAGTTGTGTTCTCAGCTGAACTCCAGTGTCGGCCGCTCTTCTGAGTTTCAGATAGTTTGGGTGGGGTTGTTTTTAGTTGAGAAACAGGGCTTTGGGACAGGATACCTGACAAAAAATACAAGTCCTTCCCAACTGGCCACATATACCAGAAATACAATCAATTCAGAAAATAAATTTGTAGCTGGTGCTGACGACTGTATGGCTGAGATAGCAGATTGACAAGATTGCTGCACAGGATTGCCATAACAATGAAAGTGAAAAATGTGTGGAAGTGAACCAAACTCTGCACTGCTACAGTGGAAAACAAGCCTTGCAGGAAAGATGCTACTCTTTAGAAGAAAACCCGGGAGTTTTAAAAGATAATTTGGGAAACCTCTTTGTCAAAATGTAATGAATGCAAGTGGTCTGTCATTATATCTGAGCTTGTAGTGTTTTCAGTTTACTTTTCTTGGGCCCGAAAGAATGCAGTAAATCATAACGCACTGCTGACTTTGTTCATTTAAGTGCAGGAAGGCTGGCAACTATTTTGCATGGAGAAGGATAATCTTATGGCTGCTGCTATGGGATTCTCACTAGACAGTAGTTTTAGAGCAGAGCAATCAGGTTTTAGTCTTGCCTTTCCAGGTGAGCATATGAAAGTGAAGTTTCTTTTTGAGTGGTTAGGGAGATGAATCAAATCTTAGTTTCTGTATTATTTTATCTCAACACTTTTTCCCTTAGAAACATCTCAGAAATTTATTTTGTTTTGAAGACTGTGCCAAATGATAGCGGATTTGTCTTTTTCAACAAATTAAAACAACTACAATACACCCTAGTGGAAGGGAGTAAGAAAACTGTGGGTAATGTGCTTCTAATTTCAATGAGAAATATGCCATTTTTTCCACATTATTTATGCATATGCTACACCTGTACTGCGTTCTATAAGGCTGAGCCAAAACCAGGTTCCAGCTCAACCTTAAACCTGCCTGAGCTTTGTGTGAGCACACTGTGAGTATGATGCAGGACTGGGATAATGCCTGCACAGTGCTATATAGACATTACTGAGCAAAGGCTGCCTGTGACTCAACGCAAAAGATGTTTCTTACTACAGGACACTCTGACTGTCGTCTTTTTGTAACACTGTGTATCCTTGCCACAAGGGCAGGTGGAACACCAGATGGTCTAGGCTGGTATGGGAAGTCCCTCGGTGAGCCATGGTATACCTGGGCCATCTACTATGCTTGAGGTAAGAGCATCCCTGGGTAGAAAGAATATTAGCTCAAGTTAGCTGTTATGTCTTCCATCCCACCCCAAGCCTCAAGCCAGTGCTTGAGCACAGGCTCATGGGGACACAAAGTGAATTTGGATTTGAGTTGGCAACGGGCCAAACCTTGAAAAGCAATATAGATGCAACCTGAGCCATTTCGTGGGGTATCAGGAAAAAAATATACTGGAATAAATGTGCTTGCAAAATGTGCTCTGAAAAAGTCAATGTGAATGAAGGTGACATTTTAAGTAACCTTTTTCAAAAGACGACGCTCTTACAAAGTGTAACTTCAAGACCACCAGAAGATGGCAGTCTGCAATCTGGAGTGGAACAGCTCTACTCCCCGGTAGCAAACCGGCAACACCAGCAGCCTCTGGCTCTGGTAACTGTTCTGAGGACGTATGACGGTATACTGGTGTTTTCTAATGCCTCTGGTTTAATTGACAGTATTGTTCTCTCACTTCCTTTTTGATATGCTATACACAGTTCTTTTACAAGAAAATGATAATGCAGGTTTTCATACCTCACAAGCACTTATGTAACACAAAACTGTAATATAATGTAAACATACATGTATATGAACACGTGCACAAGCACACCCCCATATATACGTATACACACATGCAATAATACAGGTAATAAGTAGCACAAGCCCTGAATAACAGCTCCTTTCCTGTCTTGATTTTTTTTCTCTCCTGGTTTTGAGGTACTTTTCTACAAAATGAGGCATTCAGAAAAGGAAGGCAAACTGTGTGGAACCTTTTAACTGCTCCCTGCAGTTATATTTTACAGCATGTTTCTTTTTATTCACTCTACCGAGTCAGTAAATTCTTTTTGTCGCAAAAGGCAAAGGCTCATCATTGCTATCTGTTGGAATTCAAACAGAAAAGTTAAAAAGTGGCCACACCTTGCTTCGTGAGACATTCCTCCTCTCTGCCCTTTTTTGCCCCATTCTCAAAATGGACACAATGCTTTCTTTGAGGAGAGTGAAAAAGGTAAAGTGCTTTCACTCTGAGGAAAAAAAAACCCAGACCCCAAGCTTAGAGTAGCAGGCAGAGGTTGTGACCTTCCAGAGCAAGTCTTTGTCAGCTCTAATAAAAGGAAAGCAGGCACCAGGCATTTTCAGAGCTGCAAGCCTGGTTTTCTCTGCTGGGTGAGACCCTTAATTGAATTGCAGTCTTCTGTTTTTTTGTGCCTAGATGCATATGTGCATATAATGGTCATTAAAATCCTGATTCAGAATTCATTAAATTCAGTGAAAGGAGCTTGACTAAGTTTTGAGTCGAAGCTACAAGCTACAGAAGAATGACAAATACTGACTCCCTTGCCATTGCTTTTTCCCATGTTTATGAAAACTAGAATGGTGGGACTGACCTGTTACTGGAAAAGGCCGTGTTATTTATCAGCTTTTCCTGATCTGTTTGATAGTGATGCAGTGTGGCAAAGAGCTTATTTACAATTCCTAAAATGTAAATTTGTAACATATGAACAACTTTGCAGTGAAGTGTTTTTGTCAAGTAGTATGTGCAACTTCATTTAGTGGTCTCGTAAGTGTACTGTTTACTAAGGCTGTTCTCATGGGGAGATAATATGAAACAAAAAAATGCACTGGAAACTCATATGCTGTTTTACTTGAGAGTAACTTCCCCAAACAGACCTGTGTGGTGTGGACAAGCTCTCCATCTACAGAGGTTCATCTCTCTTAGCAGGATGTTGCCTCTACTATTTTTAAACAGAAATATCTGGTATAAAGGGAGGAAAAACATGCCTCAAGGGCATGGCAGAGCAGGGTTCTGCTCCTCTCAGTTGTCCCTCTTCCCCAAAAACGTCAGGTGGCTATGAATGTTGGAGACATGCTCTAAGCTCTCTGGGTGGGGATGAGCCTTTTTGCTTGTCCCCACTGCAAAAGCCGGGAGATGTTTCTTCCTGAGATGATGCACATGGGGATCCTCGTACCTGACACGCTGGTTCCTTTCTTCTCTCCCACCACACCTGAAAGAGGGGAATGGCCCAAGGGCCCACGGTCCCTGCAGCCAGGCTGTCCCCAAGGAGAGGGGCTGCCTGGAGGAGAAGAGATGGGCCTGCTTGCAGGGTTGCCACAAACCCTGTCCCAGCTCCACAAGGGGTGCTTGCCGAGCAAGGGCAGGGCTGGGGGAGGCTCATGTCTTTTCCTTCCTTCTCTTGCAGGAAGCCAGCTTGGGAGGGGGAAGCACTGCAGCAAACATCCGGGCTGCGATGCCAGCCGGTGCCTGTACTGGGGAGGCAGGGGGCAGTGGGAAGAGGAGGGGTAAGTCTTCAAAGGAGCAATTCCCCACATCCTTGGTGGAGGTGAATCCTGGTCACGGTCTGCCTAGCTCTCTGAAAGCCTTGCAAAGAGGTGGAGGGGGGCTGTTAAGGGGAGGGACAGAGCTTTCCTAGAGGAACACTGAGCTTCTAGGGGAGGAGGGATGCCCCAGATCTGATAGCACTGACCAAGGGCTCCTCCAAGCGGTGGAGAGGGCTGCTGGGGCTCTGCCCAGTCTAAGCAAAGGACTCCGGGAGTCACAACTTATACAGCTGGCTATAAGGACCTCTGGCAGTGGTGCTGATGCCCAGGCCTGGCACGTGTCTTGGCCCTGCTGCTCCCAGGAGGCTGCATGGGCTGAGCTGGAGGTGAGGGCTGATGTCCTGGGAGCTGAAGCCTGTGGATGACAAGGGGAGAGCAGATTCAGCAATGTGCTGAAGTGCCCAAGTAGCTCTGTGTGGCCCTGGCACCTGCGTGGGGAAGCAGGGCTTGGGCTAATTCTGACGGGCTCTGGCACATCAGTCTGCTCCTGGCCTGGCCTGGGACAAGCTTGAGCACCAGGAAAAGCCCTTGGGGATGGAGCAGAGTGAGCCCCGCTCCCTGTCCATACTCCTCCAACTCACCTAGGTGCTGCCGAGAGCTTGGTGGGGGCAAGGAGGCTGGGGAGGGCTGAGGAAGATGAGGACAGGGAGAGAGCGGGAGCCACGGAGGCCAGGGGCACTGGAGGGAGCCTTGCTTTGCACCAGAGTATGGGGCTAGAGTTGGCCCAGTGAGGGCATTTCAGCAGGAGTGGGATGTGTGGTGGGGTGGACACGCGCTGACTGTGATGGTGAAGCCCCAAGGGCTGTGCAGAGGCACTTTGACTTGTGAGCCCTGGGGACACCATTCCCCAGCCAGCCTGCCACCTCCTGCTCATCGCAGCCCTGGGGAGTCCCTTGAGGAGACTTTTCCAGGCTCCTTGAGAGGTGCTGGAGATACCCCCTGCTCCTGCTTTTCCTTCAGGGTCGGCAGAGGAGCTGTCGGCACTGATCTGCAGCGTGGCTGCCGTGAAGAGGAAGGCCCCCAAGTCAAGGGAGGATGGTGAGAGCAACTATCCCTGCAGCTCCCTGAAACCAGAGGGCAGGGCAGGGCAGGGGCTGTAGGGGCGGGGTGAAGGGGGAGAAGCAGAAGCTCCCCAGGAGCCCCAGTGCAGAGCCTGCCTTGTGCTCAGCAAGGGAGGCTTGTGGTGTGGGGAGGGACAACTTCCCCAGGCCTCCTGGGAGGCGCTCAGTGGGTGTGCTTGTCCCCCCATCGCTCCCTCCCTGCCTGCCTCCAGAGTGCGTGCTGTGCCTCTGCGTGGACTCTGACCCAGATGGTGGTGGGCAGACTGTGCCAGGAGGACGGTCTTCTGCCTGATGAGCTCCCTGGGGGCTTTCCGCTGGCACCCAAAGGGGGACCCAAAGTCTGTAGCCGTGAAACCCCCACCCCAGGCACTAGGCGGGTGTCACCTCCTCCCCCTGCACTCCCAGCAGAGCCTCCCCATGCCAGTGCTGCTGCGCGACCCTATTCCCTGTGTGCGAGAGATCTAGCCCTCCCAATGTGGTCCTCCCAAGTGCATCCTCCAACCCAGGGGGACTCATGGTTTGCTTTCCTGAGCTCTCCTCTGGCTCTCCACTGTGGACATCCAAGTATGGCATTTGACTAGCTCTAGAAAGCATAGCTAGCCACCTCTGCAGCGCTGGTCCCCAGCCCTTCTCCATGGCCCCGGTCAAATGCAGCATACCTGGAGCGGCACCTCTCCTGGTCTTTGTGCTTCTTGCTCAGGATCAGGTCTGGGATGAGGACTATTGCAGCTCACCCAGCCTGCAGTTCAGCACTGCCTGCCCACACATGGTCTCAACTCTTAGCAGGTTTAGCTTCTGCAGATTTTGTGCTGGCCCCTGTCTCACTGCCCTGATGAGCTCCTGGGCTTTTCTGTCTTCTAGTATCCATCCAAGGGCCTTACCAGCGAGGTGCTGCTGGGGAGGGAATCTGTCCGTTCTTCCCTGCAGATGTTAGGCATGTAGTGAAGTAGGCGTTGTGAAAGGTGATGGGTTGTTTTTTAGGAGTTGGAGCCTGTGGGAGGTGAGCCTGAGCCTTGTGAGGGAAATCCTAGTGTTTTCATAGAAACATCTGCTGAGACCTTTTGGTGTCTCATGCTCAGCCATGCTGAGCCCTTTCGAGTGGGGAGCACACTGGGAGAAAAGGAGTGGCAAGAGGGACATGTGCCCAGTGCCCCAGGGAGGCAGTGGCCTCTCCAGCATTTGGGGAAGCCTCGTCCAGAACTGCGAATGGCCTCCTGCAGACCCGGGCCTTGTTCATCTTTTCCATCTCTTCCCCCAGCTTGTTCTGCTGGGAGCATCACCTGCAGCAGACCGTGGAGGTGCTTCAGGAGGAGGATACCACATGCATCATCTTCATGGAGCTGGTGGACAGGACCTCCTAAACCACCATGGCGTTCCCCTTCTGCAAGCATGCCTGGTTCCACTGCAGCTGCACCCAGGTAGGAGGCCCTTCCCTCTCCCATCTCTCATGGATATGGTGTCTCCTGCAGCTGTGTCCTGCTCACACTGTTGTACTCTCTTCTGCGGGGACAAGCTCTTCAGGCGGGTATGAGCCTTTTTGCCTGTCCCCAGTGCAAGGACACATTTCTTCTCGAGATGGTGCACATGAATATCCTCATACCTGGCATGTAGGTTCCTTTTTCCCTCCCACCATGCCTAAAGGAGAGGGGAATGGCCCAAGACCTGTGCCAGGCTGGCCCATGGTCCCTCCAGCCCAGCTGTCCCTTGAGCTCCTATTGTCAGTGTCTTGATGGCACCTCCAGGTCTCACTGCCCCTGGCCGGCCCTGGGGGCCTCCTGGTGCACGCAGCCATAACGGCGGCCTGGTTAGAAGGGGAAAATTACTGAATGGAAGAAATAGATGCATTCCCCATCCCTATCTGTAGTCACTGGTCCTTTTGGAATGATTTTCCTCCATCAACACTGATACAATAAGTGATAAAGCTTTTAAAAAATTATCTTTCAGGTTGATGTTGCTTCTTTTACTGAATGGGAAATAGATGCATTCCCCATCCCTATCTGTAGTCACTGGTCCTTTTGGAATGATTTTCCTCCATCAACACTGATACAATAAGTGATAAAGCTTTTAAAAAATTATCTTTCAGGTTGATGTTGCTTCTTTTAAAATCCATATAGAAAACAGCAGACATGTTTAGCGTAGCTCATTTGGTTGCATTTTCTCAGACTTCATAACTGAATTTTTTCCTTGTAAAGCTTGATGAGAAATTCTTCTAAGATCAGCGTTATGTATCGAACATTGCCCTTACTGATTGGCTTGCTCATTGTGGGATAAATTATAATTTCTTGTTTGCAAAAACGAAACTCAGAATACACTCTTCCATGACTTCACCAGTGTCCTTATTTTATGGAATTATGGCAGCAAATGTGTAATATTAACTACAGCTGTAGGAGGTGTTGTCCTGCATAATCTTCATGTCCTGCATAATCTTCATAGTCAGTCTCCATCAGGACAGAGTTGAAAAGTATAAATAAGAAACCATTTGTACTTACTTAAAAACCACAAATGGTATCTTATTTGTGCTTTTTAAACTTTTTGCCTGGCCCTAGTTTACATGCTGATGACTCTGACAAGCTTGGTGTCCATGCAGTTATCAACTATAAACTTTGTGATTTAATGAGAAATTCATACACTAGTCTTTAAATAACCAGTTATCTCAGAAAACTGAAAATTATTTAGCTAAATGCTTTCCAAATAATTTAATAATAATTTAACTCTAATTAGAGCTATTCAGAAGCTATGAAGTAAAGAAAGAAAACCTGCATCATTGAAGACTAGCTCTTTAGTAACTAAACTGTGAATCAAACAGAACAAATGTGTTAAGGTAGTCTCAATAGGGAGCTAATTCGTACAAGCACAATTAGCCTTGTTTTCTAATAATAGCATTATCTAATATTCCATCCTTATCTCCTGGTTGTTTTCATGAGCTCACAGGGAAAAAGTACATTTTATTTTCCAGCAATATTGAAAACTTGCTGACTTGGCTAATCTCATTAAGTATTACAGTGTTTATTTCTGTACCAAGGGACACCGCGAATGGTCTGTCAGATTTTAAAATGTAAATGTGAAACGATATAAATCCAAGCAATGTGGGTATGACTATACTGTATTTATGCAGTCAACTTTTTTCAGCTGTTGCTCTCCATCTCAGGATGGGGTTCTTGCTCTCATGGCTTTGCAGAGGTTTGTGTAAAAGGGCTGGGTCAGTGCAAAGAGGACCTAACAGCCCTATTTCTGATCAGGAGAGGCCATCCTTTGCAGCAGATGTTGTAAAGGAGAGCAGGTAACTATCTTCTGAAGGCCTACAAGGACTGCAGCTCTTGGTGTAGCTGCTGTGCTAAGATAGGGCTGGAGGTGGTTGCAACAAGTCCTCGATGAAGCTGTGGTCTGCAGCACTGCTGAGATCCCAGGTGACACTGTGCCACTTGCTTGCTTCTAGTGGTTACTGTGGTATTGATGGCTTTTAACACCAAGTTATACCTTACTATCTTTGTCTGACAAACTGCAAGCTCTGTTTTTTCTCTCTTTGCTGCTGTTATTTGGGATTTGGGAGTGTGAGCATCTACGATGTTGAGCCATACCCATGTAGTTGCATTCATAAAGGAACTGCAGTTAGGCACTATTTCAACACTTGAAATCCTGAGCCCTTAGTACTTCTCTTAGCAGCTCTTCTCTGTGAAACTTTTCAGAGTGTATTCTGCAAGAACATCTGTGCATTCCTGGCCCATGTGCAGAAGTGCTCTTAACCCATGAGCGTGGTAAACTAAAACACTTCTGGCATGGACTGTCCGGTGGGTGAGGAATTGGTTAGATGGTCGCATCCAGAGGGTAGGGGTCAATGGCTCAATGTCCAGATGGAGATTGGTGACGAGTGGCATCCCGCAGGGTGTTGGGACCGGTACTGTTTAATATCTTCATCAATGACATAGACAGTGGGATCGAGGGCACCCTCAGCAAGTTTGCAGATGACACCAAGCTGAGTGGTGTGGTCGACATGCCAGAGGTATGGGATGCCATCCAGAGGGACCTGGACAGGCTTGAGAAGTGGGCCTGTGTGAACCTCATGAGGTTCAACAAGGCCAAGTGCAAGGTCCTGCACCTGGGCTGGGGCAACCCCCAGTATCAATACAGGCTGGGGGATGAAGGGATTGAGAGCAGCCCCTGGGGAGAAGGACTTGGGGGGGTACTGGTGGATGAAAAGCTGGACGTGAGCCAGCAATGCGCGCTCGCAGCCCAGAAGGCCTTCTGGCATACTGTCCGGTGGGTGAGGAATTGGTTAGATGGTCGCATCCAGAGGGTAGGGGTGGCTCAATGTCCAGATGGAGATTGGTGACGAGTGGCATCCCGCAGGGTGGGTGAGGAGATGGTCGCATCCAGAGGGTAGGGGTCAATGGCTCAATGGCTCAATGGAGATTGGTGAC